AGGAATGCCCAGAGCTCATCGCTGGTTGGGAGCCTCGTCTTCCACTATTTTCTCCCCTCATTTAGAATTCTTTTCACAATAGTCCCTCCTTCTCGTTCCCTGTCTCCCTTCTTTAGCAGGAATTCCGTAAAAGTATTGACTACCTTTTTCTTCATAGACTGTTGACCCCAGAGGAAATAGCGGTTGTAAGCAGCGCTAGCTGAGACTCTACTGCCCCCTCCAGGTGGCTCTCATGAACTACCCCCATTTCACTACCTTGGCTCTGCTGGGATTATGCATTATGCTGGATTAGTGGAGGTGCTCCGATTTCCACAGTGAAACTCTAGTTCTCGTGGAAAATGACTTCTTCTCCCCACTCCGTTCCTCTTCCCAGTCCTTTTGCACAAGTTATGCTGAAACACAGAAGTTAGCAAAAGAAATTTTACCAAGGAACAGAGGGATAGAACCTGTCAATTTACAGAGCACAATATTTATCCTCAAACAATGAAAGCACACCTGTGATTTTTTTTTTTTTTTTGGAGAGGTTTTTACTGTAGGGTGCATGTGCTCTCCGGAAAGACAGAGAGACAGAGAGACAGAAAGCGAGAAATCACGCCCCAGGGGGGATGACCATGTCATAATCCCTTCTCTTTCATTCTCCTCTAAAGATCTTGCGCACGCTCGCACACGTGCATGATGTGAGTTTAAGCCACCGGGTCCGGGACTCAAACTGCTGTTGACTACATTGGAGTCCAGTGACATAGCCATTACTCTAACTGCTGGTCTCACCTTGTCTAGTTAGTTGCTATATCCTGTGATTCAGACCTCACGCAGCTTCCAGTTGGAAGTACTAATTTCCTTCCATAGCTTACTTCTTTTTATTTTATTTATTTATTTATTTATTTATTATTATTAAATTTGCTATAGGGGATGTGCATTTGCCAGAGAGAGAGAAAAACTGAGAAAGCAAGCTGCTAGATCTGAGACTGGAACTGTGGCTGGCCATGTGAGAGTCCAGTACCTTAGCCGTCAAGCCACCTGCTGACCCCTCCGTAGGTTATTTCTAGCTAACTGAGGGCTTTTTTGATTCTCTTTTCTTTTAAAGGGTAGTTATTTTTTGTTCATTATAGAGATGCATGCATGCACACCCGAGAGAGAGAAATGAGAAAAGCAGCCCTGACAGTCTGACCATGCTGTGATCCCCTGCCCCCAGCCCCCCAGCTTCTCAAGATCTTGAACATGCATGTGCGTACACCCACTGTTTCAGGTCGTCAGGGGCAGGGATCTGAACTGACAATCTGTCACATGGCTTCCAGCACTGCAGTTCAGTGTGCGATGGGTCCCTCCGAGACGGGGCCCCTTCCTGACTCTTGACCAACCGAGTGAGAAAAGCACTTTGTTACTGAGGAAATGTTCTGTTTCGGGACTTCACAGCAGCCTATCACAGTCTCAGCAATATCTGCCTCTTAACTGTCCATAACCCCCCAAGTTATCGGAGTCCTGGTTCACTTCAATGCTTATGTCTCTCTCTTTTTATTTTTTTCCTTTTTCTTGGAGAGGGTTTTTGCTATAGGGTGCATGCACTCTCCAGAAAGAGAGAGACAGAGAGACAGAAAGTGAGAAATCACCCCCCAGGGGGGATGGCCACACCACAATCCCTTCTCCTCCATTCTCCTCTTGGGATCTTGGGCACGCACACACACGTGCCTAGCGTGGCCGGGCCCGGGACGCAAACTGTGGTGGACTACATGGGAGTCCAGTGACATAGCCATTATGCTAACTGCTGGTCCCTCTCTCTTTTTATTTTTTGGCTCTCCCACAGAATTGCCATTATCCTCTATGTCAAGGCTAGTTGTATTTCCTGAGCCCCAGCTTCTCTGCTGGCCGGCGACACATGGGACTTAGCCCAAGAATCAAAGGCAAACTACATATTGATTTCACTCACTCTCCTCTCCTAGTGACACCCAGTCTGCTCTCCTCTTTTTAATAACTTTGCACCTTCTCTAAGCTCCCCATAACTAACGTCCAGCTTTTGATCTCAGTTACTTTTAAGTCCAGTGGCTTATTGTTCCCAATCACCTCAATGGTCTCAACATCCATTTAGCAACTATATTCTTGAGGAAGTTATACATAATGTTTTTTTAATTATTTTTTATTTAACTTATTTATTTATTTATTTATTTATTTTTAATTTGACAGAGAGGGGTTCAGAGCAAGAGCACAAAAGAGAGAGAGAAAGTGAGAAATCGGGACCAGCAGTTAGCATAATGGCTATGTCGCTGGACTCCCATGTAGTTAACCGCAGTTCGCGTCCCAGACCCAGTGGCTTAAAACTCACACCGGGTGCATGTGCATGTGTGCCCAAGATCCCGAGAGGAGAATGGAGGAGAAGGGATTGCAGCATGGTTCAGAGCAAGAGCACAAAAGAGAGAGAGAAAGTGAGAAATCGGGACCAGCAGTTAGCATAATGGCTATGTCGCTGGACTCCCATGTAGTTAACCGCAGTTCGCGTCCCAGACCCAGTGGCTTAAAACTCACACCGGGTGCATGTGCATGTGTGCCCAAGATCCCGAGAGGAGAATGGAGGAGAAGGGATTGCAGCATGGCCATCCCCTCGGGGGGTGATTTCTCGCTTTCTGTCTCTCTGTCTCTCTCTGTTTGTCTGGCGAGCGCATGTGCCCTACAGCAAAAATCTCTTCAAAAAAAACAAAAAAAGAAAGAAAGTGAGAAATCAAGCCACCAGGTCTGGGACTCAGCCATGTGGGAGTCTAGTGCCTTTAACTACCATGCCACCTTCTGGCCCTACATAATGTCTTCATGGAACTCTTTTAAATTTTATCTCAAAATTATTTTGCAATGCTTGCAATGCCCAGTGGCATTCCAAGAGCAGAGGAGGCCAGGAGATGGTCAGCCCCAGAGTCCCCAGGTGCTAACACTTCGTTTAGGGCACGTTTGTTGTTGAGGACCTCAGTCAAAGGGCACTAAGGGGCACTGAGGGTCTGATGCGCCATGTCTTCAAGTTATCTGGAGACTGGCAATCCCTTTGAGGCTTCCCTCTTCCTCAACCCCGCAAGCCTTTGCATTCACCGTTACTTTTTTCAAGGCACAAAAG